GTAAATGGTTGTTACCAATACAGGAAAATAAAGCGCATATGTAGAGAAGTGTAGGAATTCAGGGAGAATCACTAGCTAGCATTATGGGAAAACCAAAAGAAGTTCATTTCAAAAGAAAAAAAAGAAAAAAAAAATCATCATGGAGAAGAAGCGACGGACATGGCTGCTTCTCTTTCCTATTTATTATAACAGCTCCTTAATTTCTCTTCTTCTAGGTCTCTGAGAACTCCTGTCTTCTCCAATGTCGTCCTCTTCGTCAGATGCTTGTGAGCTCAAAATCTCCTTCTTCAATTTTATTAGTCCTTCTGTTTACCCCTGCTGCAATTTCAGTGTCTGGAATTTAAACGGAATTGAGACGTATAATCGTCAAATCTGAGAAGAATGAACTTAATCTGACGATTATATGTTGGTGAATTTGGATTGTACCGCCTCTTTTATGCTGCCTGCTCTGGAGATCTTGCTCGGTTCAAGAGTAATAACAGAATTTTTTTTATTTCCTGTTGTAAATTCTTCATAACAATTTGATGCAGAACATGATTACTGTATTCTGAAATGCTTAAGCAGGGCTGGCCAACGAGCTTCGGAGGTCAGGGCTAAAAATTGAAGATGTAAAAGATGAGGATGGTTTATGTGCTTTGCATGCTGCGGGAATTGGATGAAGAACGCACGTCTGCAAGTACCTTGTGGAGGAAGTAAAGGTTGACATTGATGTCGAGGAGAAGAAATTTGGCAGTACTCCTTTACATCAAGCAATTTTACACGAGCGGTTCCAAACAGCTGTCCATCCTCTTGAGAGTGGTGCAAATCCGAATGCTGTGACTCACAATCGGCGAACTGCTTTGCATTTTGCTGCAAAGAAAGGTAGTTGAACAGTTGGGAAAACATTTGGACTCTTCAAATAAATTTATTAATTGCATGGTGATAAGCAGCTTTTCCATTTTGTGTTACATGCTTGTGTTGAATTTTGTGGATTATCATGGGGGTTTTTATCCCCTTGGTTTTTCATAGTCATTATACTGCAATGTCATACCTGTTTTAATAGGTAAACCTTTCTTAGGTTGAGGGTTGGAGAGCAGGAAGGAAGCCATTTATAATTCCATTGCTGCAGACATTCAATAATTTCTTTGAATGCAGGTGTAATGATTTTATTAGAGTTCTATTGCTGCTTGCTTGATTGATCCGCAATTTGTTTGGAATTTCCAGTATATTTCTACTTTTCCATTTACTTTGGTTTTTTCATTGTAGTGTAAATTTTTTCTATTTGGCTTGATTGTTATAGGAGTTAGGAAACTTTTAAAGCTTTTAATAAGGAAAGGTGTAGAAGTTAATAACTTAAGTAACTCAGTGGTTATTTCCTTCCGTTAGAAGTAAGAGATTATGAGTTTAAGTTGCAAGGTATATGGGTGAGGTAAGATAAAAGATGTGAGATGATTATTTTTCAGTATGCAACTAAAATCAAAAAATAAAGAAAGGTGCAGAAATCAAAGCAATGGCTGATATTGGCACACCGTTGCTTGTTGCGGCTTTTGAGGACAAGAAAATTTTTGTGAAAGTTTTGCTGGATAACGATGCTAATGTAAGAATGGTTGTTTGTCTGAAGTTGTTTCCTTTTTGTATATATGTTTTTATTGAAATTTCCTGATGCATTTCTTTCATGATGATGCAAAACTTTTCACATGGTACAAATCGTACTGTTTTCTTCCTTTCTTCCTTATTATTTGTTTGACTAATAACTTTTTTACTCTCTTTCCCAGCCAAATGTGATTTCATATGATTTATTCTCTCCATTGCTGGCTTCTATTGTTGTTGGATCAATTGAATGTGTTAAGTTGCTTCTTAAGGTACAACATCCCCTCTGCTTCATATTCGTAATCTAGCTAAGCTGTATGGTATACTGATATGGTTGTCTGTTTCTAGCAAATAAGTGCTACTTGAAACAGTATGATATATATATAT